TGTTATCTAAGCAGTGTACTCGCGAGCCCTTGTAGCACTGCATTATAATGGGTGGTTGTTCCAGACCAAGTATTGGCCGCGTTGTACAGACTAAACCCACTGTTGTCATCCCCATATCTGCCCCGGGTTAGGTATGTGTTGAACCTGTGAGACGACATGGAGCGTTATCAAGTTTCGGCTATATACAGACCTCGATTTGCATGTAGGCTTCTTGCCCGGCACAATTGTGTATGTGTTGTGTGTTGTGGTGTGTGTGTGTCTTGTGTGGTGTGGATGTGTGTGTGTTGGTGTGTGTGGTGGGTGTGTTTGTGTTGAGTTGTGTGTGTGTGCGTTGTGATATATATATATATATTTATTTTATTTATTTATTTTATTTATTTATTTATACATGTATGATGTATCTGTAATATGAATGTGCGTACGCATATACATATACATATAGTAATATACATGTGCATATACATAAAGATATACATATACGCATACGTATACATATACGTATAGATATACATATACATATACATATACATATACATATACATATACATCAGGAGTGTATAATAGGGAACCCTATTATACACTCCTGATATACATATACAAATCCACATACATATACATATACATATACATATACATATGGGTATATGTATATGTATATGTATATGTATATGTATATGTAAATGTATATTTATATGTATATGTATATGTATATTTATATGTATATGTATATGTATATGTATATGTATATGTATATGTATATGTATATGTATATGTATATGATATACATATACATATACATATACATATACATATACATATACATATACATATACATATACATATACATATACATATACATATACATATACATATACATATACATATACATATCAGGAGTAGATACATATACATATACATATACATATACATACGCTTTTTGGACACTTGAGCGGGGAGCTATATAGATATAATACACATGACTATGGCACACCGGGGGGGATTGCGTTACGCTATACATCGACAGCGACTACGTCCAGCGGCACAGCAGCACTACTAACAACAATCGCCAACGTTGCGCCCACCAGTCACATGTTAGCAATCATCGTCATCGTCGCACCCGCCGGCTGCTCCCGCCTCGGATGTCTTTTCGCTGACGTCCTCTGATGCTAACGAACCGCCAGCTTTCGGTCCGTGAACTGTAAACGAGAGAGTATGAGCGTTTCTACAGCATCCATAGAAGTCTCGTAATTTATTGATTGGCGACTCCGTTTCCCCTTACTTTCTAATTGATAAATTGATTCCTTTCACTACTTATTATCTAGCATTGATTAATCGATTACTAATATATTAATGATATGCATGTCTTACAATCGATCTTTGATATCTTCGGAAAATTCGCGGGAGTGTTTTTACGCAGCAGCAGTTTCTTCTGTTTCGGTTGCTGTTGCTGCTGGCATTCCGTCGGCTGGTCGGCTGTTGTCTCGGTGTCGTCGCGCGACGAGGGATACTTGACGTCGCCTAACGAATGTTCGTCGCTGTCGTCGGCCAGGCGCTCCTCGCTCTCGTCGTCATCGTCCACCTGCAAGAACGAAAAAAAAAACATTTATCAAAACGCTCGTTTATTTGGAAGGGGTCGATGCGCCATCTATCGGAGCCATATGTAAGACGCTTAGCACTGTCTTTAAGTATTTAGTATTATGTAAGTATGTATGTAGTAGTAAATAAGGTGTAATGTTCACACTAAACTTTTCAGTTCAGGTACGTCATTACCCACGTTGGCATAGAAAAACTGGTCACTATCGTGACATACTTAGTATGTGTATAAGCGTAATTATTCAAGAGTCAGTCAATGCAAATGATGGTGCTGCCTGGCATGCGACTTTCGGCCAGGTGTATAGACGTATTGTGAATATATCCCTATGTACGTACTCGTCACTAACCAAATTTTCTCCGTCAATAATCACCAAGGGACTCTACGTCGAGGAAATGTGAGACGTGACCTCGGCGTTTTATGTAATCAGTATTAGATTAATTCAATAAGTATTAATTCAATAAGTATCCAGTATTAGATTAATTCAATATGTAAATGTGAAATACAGAAACCGTGTAAGTCGCATAGATGGACATATCAGGTTTATCACTATTTGACGTACGGAGCAGGAAGTTTTGCTATATTAATTTTAATAAATACCCGAACAAAACCCGCATCTCAAATTCTAAACGACAGCGTATATAGGTACAACATAATTACTCGACACGCAAGCCTATTTTAATTACGTATAAGACCGCTGATGGTGATGACAGGGTTAGAGCTCCGAGCTAACTAAGCTTTACTAGTGGGCGTGCGTGCATGCTAATGCTTTCGATTCACCTCGTGGGACAATTAAGCTGGAATTAGTACAGCTTTGTGTACACGTCTGTCATGCGATTGCAGGCTCAGCACGTCTGACATCCACGAAGCCGTGTATCGGCCTATGTGTCATCCCCATCGGGTCCATACCTATGTGTCCCGGTACCTATGTGTCCAGGTACCTATGTGTCCCAGTACCCAGGTACCTATGTGTCCCGGTACCTATGTTTCCCGGTACCTATGTGTCCCGGTACCTATGTTTCCCGGTACCTATGTGTCCCGGTACCTATGTGTCCCAGTA